ATTGCAACAGAGAAGGGTGTTTTATTATGGCGATTGCTGCCAGATATAGTGATGCATAATTTGGGTGAGTGCATGCACCTATATATGATTGGTCCGCGGAGTGTGTGAGTTAGTCAGAGGTTGTTGTGATGCTACGGGAAGCCGTAGTACTCACTAGTCAGAGGTTGTTGTGATGCTACGGGAAGCCGTAGTACTCACTAGTCAGAGGTAGTTGTGATGCTACGGGAAGCCGTAGTACTCACTAGTCAGAGGTTGTTGTGATGCTACGGGAAGCCGTAGTACTCACTAGTGAGAGGTTGTGGTGATACTGCGGGAAGCCGTAGTACTCACCAGTCAGTTAGAGGTTGTGGTGATACTGCGGGAAGCCGTAGTACTCACCAGTCAGTGAGAGGTTGATGTGGTGGTAAGGGAAGACGTAGTACACACTAGTTAGCAAGAAGTTGTTATGCTAAAGTACTCTTTGATCAGAGCATGGTGCAGAGAGTTTTAGGCATGGGGTGGCCCTGATTGGTGAGTTTTTGGGAACCTGGTGGTCGGACCAGGGGCGGGATCGGGGTCTCCTCAATGTTAGGGGATCATTATGTTCTGAGTAAGGTGTGGTCATTGCAATCCGAAAGAAAGGGATAAGTAAGGTACGCATGGGGTGCGGGAAATGAGTTCTGAGTTGAGTGCTTCGTTGGGACGAGTGGTTCCAACTCTGGGTCAGACCAAACTTCCGAGTTTGAGTTTGGCTCTAGTGGTGCTTTGGATAGGCGAGATGAGGTTCTGGATTCTGAGGTGGGTTCCATGTTGAGGAGTGTTGTTTGTCATCTGATGTCTTTGACCGGTGTGGGTCAGTACTCGGGTACGGGAGGTACCGCAAGTTGCATGGAACTATGGGTAACAGATGACAGAGGTCGGGGTTGAGTCGATCTTCAGTTGGGAAGGTAGCATTCGCTTAGGGTTAAGCGGACTTCATTACTCGAGTGTCACATTGGGCCGATGTGGTTATAGTAAGAAGGAAACCATGGATACGGTTGGGATAATGCAACGGATGACCTTGGAGGTTCAACTATTAGGTCGAGATCAGACCTGGTACTCAGTGTTAAAAGGGATACGAGGAATGGAGCGGAGGCTTATGATTTTTTCTTAGATGTCTGAGGACACTTCAGAGCGAGCACGATTATTCTTTTGGGTTTGAGGGCAGAGAGTTGATAATTCTTTGTTCGGTTGGGTTCCGATAGCCGTTCAGTGGATGAGCCCTGCTGGGACGTGAACCCTTACGTTTCTTGGGTCGTGAATCGAAAAGGTTGGTTTTCCTCCGGGATTGGGAATCCCTGTTGGAATCCAGGTGTCTAGAGAGGATGGAAGCTGTGTGACATGAGATCCTATCGATGGTGCCATTTGGTTATGGGATTCGATCTGTATGTGGAGGAGCGATTTCGAGGGCGAAATCTAATTTAAGTGGGGGAGAATTGTAACATCCGGATTTCCAGATATTATGTTTGATCATTTATTCTTTTGAGTAAAAGGGAGCGACTCGACGAGTTGAGGCGTAGACTCGTCGAGTAGGATCGCGTGTGCTGACTGGATTAATGAACGGACTCGACGAGTCGGAAAGGGTGGACTCGACGAGTCCGCACTGTGGATTGAAACCCTAATTCTCGGGGTTTGAGCCCTATTTAAAGGCCTTTATGGCCTCCATTTGCGGCTACCAGTCCAAAGAGAGATACCCTAGCGATTGTGAGCGAGTTGTGAGAGAGTTTGAGCCTTTTGATCATTTTTGGTGAGATTTTGCAAAGGATAAAGTGTTTCCAGCAAGGGGAGGTCAAGAGGATTGCATTTCAGTGGGTTTTCGGCTTGGATCTTCAAGTTTGAGGTAGCTATTTGATCCTATCCTTCTGTTTTGCTTAAGGGCATTGAATTTAGGGTTTTCTATACCCTTTTATGGCTTGTTTAGTTGTGTATAGTGTCCCACTGAGTGCTAAACTCTAGATCTGGACCTTTTGAGGTCTAGAGAGCCTGAACCATGCTGCTTTTTGTGGTTCTATGGAGGAAATGGACATAGGTTTCCATGTTAGAAGGGATTTCACCGAAATAAGCCTTGGGAGCATTGTATGTGTAGCAAGATTCGACCTTTACGTGTTTATTGGTCATGGGGAAGTCAGATCTATAGATTAGAGAAGCAGATCTGACCTCAAGAGGTCAGATGAGTGTTGTCATGGGAGGAACTCGCCGAGCCCATAAGGGACTCGACGAGTCGAGTCGGGTTGCCCCGCGATTCGCGACCGGTGATGACCCGTTGAGTGTAGGGTTGACTCAGCGAGTCGAGTGAGGACCAGGGGCGAAGAGGACATGCATGGACTCGCCAAGTCACACGAGTGCACTCGGCGAGTCTGGTCAAAGTTTGACCGTTGACTTTTGTTGACTTTTAGGGTTTGGTCAACAATTGGACCTGTGGACCATTGAAGGGTAAAATGGTCTTTTAGCCTTCTTAGAGGATATGGAAGAGACTAGTCTAGCCTGTAAAGCCGTTATTGATTCGAGATAATTGTTTATGTGTTTAGGCGGAGGCTAGATCAGTATACGTGTGCGAGATTATCCGAGATAGCCGAGGTGAGTCTTCTCACTATACTGTACCTAGAGTGGTACCTATGTGTGACCGGAAGGTCTTGTATGCTATGAGATGTATGTGCTATATGCTGTTATGTAATATGTATGTGTTATGTATGTTATGTATGACATGGACCGGAAGGTCAGGAGGTTACGGACCGGAAGGTCGATACTGGTAGGACCGGAAGGTCTACCGGGATTCGGGACGGAAGTCCCCTGAGACACATGGATCGGAAGATCCTACAGAGTTATGGCCTGGAAAGGCGTATGTGTTGTATGTGGTATCTTGGGGAACTCACTAAGCATTTATGCTTACAGTTGTTGTGTTATGTGTTTCAGGTACTAGTGAGGATCGCGGGAAGGCGCCGGCATGGTCTGTACACACTGATGAAGATTTATGTACTTGAGATTCTGGGGTTGTTCATTGAGATATTGTGTGATATCGTGGGTTTTTTTATGAATGAATTATGTTTTAATAACGAAAAATTGTTTGAAAATTTAGGTTGTTAGAATACATTTAGGGTACTATATTTTTACACTATTATTTTGTTATATGGACATAAATTTATTCAAATGAATATATACATAGAAAAATACAAAGTAAATACCTTATTTCTTGAATATCTTTTTCCACTATTATTTCCCTTTGCATCAAACAAAATGGAAAATTAACACCAAGAAACTTCACAATATCTTGCAATTTCAATCATGCAAAAAGCTTGCATCATAACTTTTAACAATCATATTTAGATAAGCTATTATCATTAAAAAAAATTGGTTCATCAGCTCCATTTATTCCTAAGCTTAGTCAAAAGATTTTGGTTAATATCAATCAAATAATAAATGAAGCGATGACCTAAGAGTGAAGCAAACACTAAAAAGATATGCCTAAATGAAGCTTAGTCAAAAGATTTTGGTTAATATCAATCAAATACTAATTATTTTTTATTGAACATAGTGCGATTAGTTCATAAAAAAAAATACGATATGCAATAAAAAGATATGCCTAAATTTACTGAAAGATAAATTTAAATAGAATAAGTAAATACATTATGTGAATATTATTATTATCAATCATACCAAGATTTGAGATACAAAGGAAATTATTGCTGATAAAAAGGAAGACTAATTTTCAAATCACAATCTTAGTTATTATGAAATATTAATTTGAAATAATAATTATCACTATGGAATACCGATTTTCAAGCTAGAAATTGGCGATTTTCCTATTATAAAGGGCAGAAAATTTGCGTTTGATAGTTTATGATTTCTTAAAATATCTAGAAATGCTTATTTTTAGGGATTCATTCAACCACTAATGATAAAAATTACCGGAAATTTCGATCTACCAAATTTAAACAAAATAAGGACAATATGGTCATTTCACTTTGTAGAAATATGGGATGTGGAAGCGCCAAGTGGCAAAATGACCACTCTTTTATTAGAATATGGATAATTATATGCAGACTTTATTTTTTTACCTAAAATATGGAATCTATTTTTGTAATTATATTTCATATTTATTGAAATTTTATATATTTATTATATTTTTTTGTTATTCTACAATCTTTTCAAATTTATAGTTTTTTTTATATGGTAATTATTATCTTAAATTAGGTATGATTTTATCTATTTTTGTAATTATATTTGACATGTTATATTGAAATTATTTTCGATATCATACCATACATAAGACATATTTTAAGTATGGAAATGATATTAAATTCCAAAATCTTTATGCCATATCAGCATTTACCAAATTTATATCTTCCCTATAAATATAGTCTCTACGATTTTTCATTCCAAATCAAATTTCTCTCTAACTAATTATCTTCTTTCATTGTAGATAATAGTATTCCATGGCAACTAACAATGCAGATCAGGTCGTGTTTGATAAGGTTGTTGAAATCGATGCATCCAAAGAGTCTTGGAACATACGTGTTAAAGTCATCTTGCTTTGGAAGCAGGCCTATAGAAACAATCCTAATATGGTCGTGAGCCTAGACATGATTTTAATTGACCAACATGTATTGTTTCTACAAACTTTATTTTTTAGATTGTCAAATTCTTATGTATATCTGTTGATTTTAGTTCCCGATCCCTTCACTCAATATTATTTTTATATAGCTTTCTTAATTTTAATAATCAATTAAGTATGTCGAATTCTTCTTATTATTAATTGTGTAACATTTCTACAAACTTTATCATTTAGATTGTCAAATTTTTATGTTATTACTTCAAATTTTATGCATTTTTGTATAAAAAGGGTATTCTAATTGCTTTTTATATGTCGCAGAAAAATTTGGGATGTTTCTACAATATTAGTTTTATTTTTTTATTCCTTTTTTTTTGTTTACACTTATCTTTCATTGTCACCTACATAGTAGTAGAATACAAGCAACAATAAAGAAAAAATTTATTCCTCTATTTGAATCTCTATTCGATGAAGGAGTTGTTAGGGACATTGACACTCGTGTTGCATTTGGTATGTTGTTATTTTATTAGTTTAACTTATTTCTATACTTCAATTTTTAATGTAATACACATTTGTATTATTATTACTAATTTATTACATTTTCTCACATAGATTTTCTTGGTGAAGTTGTGTCAACTGATCCCATGCGAGTCATTGTTGAGCATGGAAGAGAAAAAAGGTTAATGAATCTGGTTGCTCAGGATTTAAGGTACACATCTCTTTTATTCTTACACTTTCCCACTTTTATATTTATCTTTCTTTAAAACCACCATGCATTTTTAGTGGTACGAAAATTGCAGTTGCTTTGTGGGACAGTTTTGCACTGAAGCTGAATACTTACATTTCACAGCATCATAATGAAACTGCTCCGGTTATCATACTGCTACGTTTGGCCAAACTCAAAATTTGGGGTGGTAAGGATTTTTTTCAACAGATTATCATTTCAACTTCAAAGTAATTACTGACAATATTATTTTACTTTTTATTTACAGGTCAGCCTCAAGTTGGTAATTGTTTGTTTGGATCTAGATTGCATATAAATGATGATATGCCTCACATTTTAGAGTTCAAATCAAAGTATGTTTTCTTAATAATTATGAATCCTGTAATGTTTTATGTTTTTATATGATAACAAGTGTAATTATTAATTTATTACATTAAACTAGTTATTTACCATACTTTAGAGATGTAACTTACTAAATCTATACTTTTGTTTTTTAACCTCATTTTTTTGTATATGTAGTCTTAATGCTTTGGACATGAATGTTGAGTCTTCTAGCCGTTCATCGCAGCTAAACTCAGATACTGTTGTGGCTAATCCAGAGGATTACTACCTCCGTTTTCAAATAAAAAACATTGATGAGATCCCTGATTTGAACGAGGTTTAGTTAACATTTTTATATAAGAATTTGTGCCTTCCATATTTTTAGGATTAGGATAGTAATTCGTGTGCAAGATGAAACTGGTTATTCTTCGTTCATATTGTTTGAACGTCATGTAAAAGATCTTATTCATCGTGGAAACCAATGGTTGATGGAAAAAATAGCTAAAGTTTGATAATATATCTCCATTATTTAAATAATTGACATATATGATTTTTCTTCATTAACTTTTCAAGTATTTCGTTGTAATGTAAATTAGGATCAAGGACGCCAACAGATACCTGATGAGTTCAAAATCCTTCTAAATAAGAAGTTTGTCTTCAAAGTTCAGATATCCATATTCAATCTGCAAAACAACTATCGTGCTTACACTATGCAGAAGTTGACTGATGATGAAAGGGTTCTTGCTGCGGTTTTTAAACGGTCACCAAATCATGAACACCATATTCTAAATGATAATGGTACTCTTATTAACAAGCCAAATAAGGTGGGGAACTGTCTCACATATATTTCCAAATTCAAACCCTATGCCCTCTTTTCATTATATTTTTATTTCATCTTCATGAATTTTTGCAAATATTTTATGTTTTTTTATATTTTACTTTGATCGGATTTTTATTGTTTTATGTATTTTCTACAGGATACTACTGATTTTGTGCATGATGACAATCTTGATGTTGTTGACCTTGAAGCTTTAACGTCATCATCCAGTACGGGGAAGCGCCCTATAAGTATTAATGCCAACACTGATTCTTTGGAGTGGTCTTCTTCAAAAACCAGTGCTATTCCTGCTACCTTGAATATCCCAAAGTTGGAAAAGTTGGACTAATATGAAGCCAACCAGCAACATTTTACATTTCATCTTCAATATGTTTAGAGACATTTTCTTTTTAATCTTTTATGTCGCACTTTTAATTGTCTGTTTATGGATCTATTGGTTGTTTTTAAAATTTTATTGGGTTGTTATTTGGTCTGAACACGATGATATTCGTGCTATTTATTACAAATATAAGTTATTGAACTGTTTTAATTTAATGAATATTTTGTTTCTTTTTCTTTCGTTCATCGTGTATTTTATAAATTTATTATATGTATAATTATATGCAGACTTTATTTTTTACCTAATTTAAACCCAACTAATAATCAATTCCTTTATTTAATTATATACAAAATTTATTTTTACCTAATTCAAAACCTTCTAATATACATCGTTTGCATATGGTAATAGAATAAAATCATGGAGGAAGTATTCAAAATCTATTTTTAGGCAATGCATATATTCCCTCCATAATTAAATGCATAATTATATGGAGACTTTATTTTTTATCTAATTTAAACCCAACTAATATTCAATTCCTTTATTTAATTATATACAAAATTTATTTTTTACCTAATTTAAAACCTTCTAATATACATCGTTTACATATGGTAACAGAATAAAATCATGGACTAAGTATTGAAAATCTATTTTTTTATACTGCATTTATTCCCTCCATAATTATATGCATAATTATACGTAGACTTTATATTTTACCTAATTTAAAACCTTCTAATATCAAGTTCCCTTATTTAAAGTGTTAGAAATCATCAACATCACTATATATATATATATATATATATATATATATATATATATATATATATATATATATATATATATATATATATATATATATATATATATATATATATATATATATATATATAGAGAGAGAGAGAGAGAGAGAGAGAGAGATAACCAAGCACCTAAAACTTATCAAACATATTGAAATGAGTGACATTTCAAATGCTTCGAGAAAGAAAAACCTACAATGTCTGTTACTAATGTTTTACCCAATAACTCTTCCCCGACAACACCACTGTCTCACATCACAAATGGTAAGATTCATATTGAAGCATTATGTTAATATTTGAAGTGCTTAAATGTTTATAATGTTCAATTTGTATAACCCATTTATCTTTATATTTCATTTTGAGTTTTTGATATACATACTATTGTTCTTTAGTGAATGCATCCTCTTCATACAGTGCTCTAAAAACACCATCACATTCAACAATACAAACAATATCCCACAAACGTACATTTTCTTATATGGTATGCATCTTTCCTATTACACTTTCATTCTTATACTAGGTTATAACCCGTGGAAACCACGGTTGGTATATTTAAAATTTTTATATAGATAAAAAATAATAAATGTCAAAAAAAACCAAGATATTGTCAATTGTAAGTAATTATAATTAATTTGTTAAGCAAAATAAACATAATATTTGGATATGATATTGTAATTTCAAAATTTGAATTGAATTTGATTTGTTACCAAAAAAGAAATAATAAAAATCATAGAAAAATGCCACGTGTCAAAGAGACATTCTAATAAACTGACACGTGTCATTTTTAGGTTTTATTTATTAGAAGATGTAGATTTCCTTATCTATTGTACTATTAATATTTTTGAAATATATCTCCCCTGTTTATGATATGAATTTTAATTTCAGAAAATAATTTTTTCATACCACCTAATTGTCGAGTTAGTCGAAACCTTACCGAATTACCTTCGGCTACCCCGTCTCATAACATCATACACCCGAATGTTCAATCCACATTTATTTCCTCAAGGTCGCCACTTTCACAAAATATATCTCCCCCGTTTATGATATGAATTTTAATTTCAGAAAATAATTTTTTCATACCACCTAATTGTCGAGTTAGTCGAAACCTTACCGAATTACCTTCGACTACCCCGTCTCATAACATCATACACCCGAATGTTCAATCCACATTTATTTCCTCAAGGTCGCCACTTTCACAGCTAACCAGTCAAGGTAAAGTATTCTTAATTTCTTTTATATTATATTTACATCCACTTCATAAATCATATAAAATCAATTTTAACTTCCCAATATATAAACTTTTATCATTTAATTTTTTATACATATATGTCTATAATATTTAATTTGTATAACTAATTTTTTCCTTTAATATATTATTTAATTTAATGTTCCATATATACTATTCCTCTTTAGTTCATTCATCATCTTCATCAAATGCTCTAAACCACAATTGTAATTGTAGCAACTCTTCGTCATTAATCATCTACTCTGAAAATGAAGATTTCCTTCGTAATTTTGATTTCAATAGTATTGCTGATCTCCAACAAGTACATCAGGTTTATATACATCACTTTTATTTACAATATATAAATTATGTGAAATTGGTTTTGTATTATTTACATCTTATTCCTTGATTATTATTATTTTATACTAAAATTTAAACTTCCATTAACATTTTTTAGGAAAAAACTTTAATTGTGGTTGGTACGATTAAGCAAGTATGTGCTGAAGGAGAATGATACTGTTTTACTTGTACTAGATGTCAACAGAAAGTCATAAAACAAATTTTAATCCATGATGATCAGTTTCAAGATAAAGAAGTTTTTTATTGTAACACTTCAAACTGCATGAACAAAGTCATTTATGTTGTTCCTAGGTTTTGAAACTTATTTTATAAATATTATTATATTGTTCTGTTAAATTATATAAATTTATATTACTAAATCTGTTTACATCAATGCTTTCAGTTTGAAAATCACCATTATAGTTGAAGATATTACCGGGTTCGGTGTCACTTACTTTATATGATTCTGACGCAAAGAAGCTTATAAAAAAACGCACAAGAGTTGGTTCATCAGTTTTATGACGTTATACATATTAACTTCATTTACATAAAACAAATTTATTATTTTGTATATCTATTTTTATAAACGTTCTTTTTTTTAGGATGGTAATAACAAAATTTATCCATCTGCTCTGAATATACTATTGGAAAAAAAGATGGCGTTCAAAATTCAAATTACACATGAAAATTTGAAGAACAAAACAGAAGGTTACGCTATCTCAAGGATCACGTCTAACAATACAATCATTGATGAATTGGAAAAAATATTGAAAATGAATCGGGTAAAATTCTTTACCGCCAATACTACAAATAGTATACTTATTATGAGTTCAATTCATATGTCATGAAAGATTAAATTTTAAGTTTTTCTAATATTATTATCTTATTATTTCTTTCTTTTGCAGTTATCGTTATACTAATTATTGAAATTCTTTCACGAACATCATTACAAACATTTGATACTATACGTTGTACAAATAAATATTATGGAAATCTAACATACAACAACCATGTTCTTCATAACTACAACCGTAGAAATAATGTGGTTTGTGGAATTATCGTTCAACAAAAAAAAACCATGGAGAAATATAGAGCGTCAGTTTGTTCCGTCTTCTGCTAGCAACAATCTTGACATTGATTGACTACCACATACTTGTACTATTTTAGCATCATCATTGTGCGGACTCCTTCTTGTTGAATCCTATGATCCAAATGAATACGTTTCAAAGATTTTATTTGTTATCAAACCAACGACTACAGATTTCAAATGGATACCTTTTCCGACCTCTGAATACATTACGGCAAAGTTTGCTCTGGTAGTTATCAGTTCGAACCCGTTACATTTCAAGGTCATTCGATTGTCATACACAAAGCCATCGTAAGAGTTTGTATGTAGTATATTTTATGTTAGTAATTTACTTTATTATTTACTTATATGTTATTTTATTTGTAGTGATATGCTTAAGGAAAAAGTGGACTACGATTACTACAACATAGAATTATTTTCATCTACTACATGGCAATGGAGGGAGTTTCAAAATATCCAATTACCATCATCTGTTTATCCTGTTTCTGATGAGGCAGTTACAAGTGGCGGTGTCGTTTACTTCTTATTATCTAATGATACCATATTGCGATTTGATATTTATTCAGAAGAACATATACTCATATTTGCACCTTCTATTATTAATGACTTCAAACCGTATGCATTGAGACTGATCAAGTTTCACGGAAAATTAGGATATTTCTCTGTAAGTGGAGATCATTTGTGGGCTATTTGGGTTTTCATTTACAATCGGTGGGTTAAAGTAGATGTTAGTAACTACAATGAAGGTGCACATGAATGGTCGGATTATATAAAACAATACCCTATATTTCTTTAAAGGAAATACGATCGAGTATGTGGTTCCGACACATCCTTCTCAACAAGTTTTTTCAGCCCTTTCTGATTTTGATAAAGTGACTATGCCAAGTAGATATTAGTGATTATATATATTTTAATTTGCATTCGAACATAGTTGTTTTTTGTAATGAACTATTTAAATATTTTATATTACTCTATGATTTATTAGTTTTTTTAATTTATTCTTTTAATTGTTATGAGGTTAAAATAGCTATTGTAATGTATGTTAATGAATTTAAAATAGCTATGGTAATGTACTTTTAATTTTCATGCTTCCTATGATGTAATATATGTTTTCAATTCTATGTTTTTTATACGCTCCCCGTGTTTAACGCTGGTCATAATCTAGTTTTCAAGCAAAGCCCACTCCTCAATAGAACCATGTTCTCGAGAGGATGAAGATAACCTTAATGAACATGGTGGAAAGTATCTTGGAAACACTAAATTGACCCAATTTCCTTGGACCATGGTATAAAAATCGGTAGTTCACATCTTAAATTTAGTTCCTTCAGAATCTATCTTGTAAGCTATTTTTGAGATTTAGAGAATAATGAAACTAAGCTTAAGGAATTTAATGGTGTGGTATGTCCGACCTAAGCAAAACTCTAGACTCCTCAATTTCATAAACTCAACATGAAAACTATAAGTTACTTCCTCGTACCGATTTCTGTTACATAGTACCTGAATTCTAAAAATGATGTTTCCCAAATTTCTTGAGAGTGTCAAAATCAGTGGGAGTGGTTTATTAAGGGATTTTTCCCTCCAAGAATCCAATGCAGAGACACCTATATTTCAAGTTTTCATTACACTTATCAATCCATTTGGAGATTCAAGTCAATATATTTTGCCTCGTAAGAAATACTCTTCAAATGTAGGGGGAAAAGAAACACCACAAAAATGGTCCCATTTAATTCATTGACAATGAATTTCATAAACTCAATAACCTATAAGACATT